TTCCCATTGACTTCCGCCAATGATCAGCAATCTGATATTCTTTCCAACTCCCAATATATTCTTCAAAGTATCCTTTATATGTGCTGGAGAAAGGCTCGGGTTCATGCATGCGCATCTCGGCTCCACGTTTCGTCCTTTCGTTTCCTTACAACTCTTCATGTCCACGGGCACACCACAGCGTAACTTAACTATATTATAGGCTTCTATGCGATCCAAAAGAGTTTACAGCTTTCCATAAGCTTTGATGTCATTCTAAATGAGTCTACGGCCTTTAGTGCTGCCTGGCTATCTGACATAATATTCCTTCTGGCCGCGTTTGTCCTTTAGCGAAGACATTCACGAACACAGACTTCGACTTCGAAGACTTCCGCCTGGAATATGTTTAGTTATAAGCCCATTGGCAGACTTTACAAGAATCTTGATTCAAGTACGCCTAGCTAAGTACTCCCGTCGTCCGTCTTCGAACCTTCGGTATTTATATACTTGGAAGCATTTGTCTATCCTAGATATAATCGCTATACAGCAGTCCCTTTAAGGAATTCTGACCTTATAGGGTATTTTAAAGAAGCTTGATAGCGAAATAATCCAAGATCCTGATCCTTATTTTAAGGTATTACATGAAGTCCCTGGTAAAAATAAAACGGCGTTGTAGCCTTGTTGATATAATTCGAGAGATGTAAGCTTAAGAATTAAGCCTTTTGCCCTGAGATACCCGTAGATACTTCGCGTCATCTAAGAATTCAATTTCTGTTGACTTTCCTGCTTTTGATAAATGGGAAAAAATTTGACTTCAGTGCTTGAAATCTAGAGCAAATAGCGTTCTCATGACAGCCAACAACTAGGTCATTCCTTGGATCTATTGCCACTTCGCTTTTCCAGGAATTCATCAAAAAACAGTGTCCATAGTAGAGGCGATAAGTCTCCCCCGTAATGACAGCCACAGGTTGCAGTTACTGCTTGCTTACTGTCCCCTAGTTCCGCTCTAAGCAGTTTGAATGTAATTGAAGGCTGCCCGTATATGAGGAAAGATACCTGGCGTGAATGTAGAAATGTGGAGTGCAGAGTGTGCAAACATTTCAATATAATTCCTGCTCACGTTGAAACTGTGAGATTCTATCTGATGACAGATGCCGTCGGTTGTGGGTATCTAAAAGTCCATGTAATGCCTTACTGCCTGCATATGCATAATCCATAAATTGCTTTGCTAAATTTTCATCACCGATGATGTGTTGCGAGGTAAAATTTTTGTTCTATCTGTACGATTCCCTCTATTACAGTACTCAGCAAAACAAATTTTCCCATACCAAATGAACGAAAAAAAAAGAAACATATTGAATAATGCATTTTAAATTTATTTATTTATTATGACACCTACATGAATGCCATTTGCGAAAAAATTTGCACTCCTATATTAAAAAAATGTGCCCATTCGTTGCATGCAACGCGTGTGTGACGCGTGTAGCTAGCGCATTGCAGAAGCACTAAAAAATGTAAATTAACCACTCTTAGCATGATGGTAAAGCAGCTGCTCTTCGGCAAACATACATACATACATACAAATATATACATACATGCATAATTAAAATAAATACAAAATTTCATAATTTATGTACGAAGACATTTTGTTTGGGAAAAAATATGTGTAGAGGCTCTGCCCTGCTGCACGCCACTTTAGAGGCGCAAAATTGCTTTTGAATGAGCTGTCAAATGAAGCTTAAAATGTTTATGAAAAACCACCAAAAGTGTGAATCTAATTTTATTTATCGCTACCTTCACTTTTCCTAGGCATTTACAAATGTGTTTGTACAAAAATCCAGCTCACCTCTCCCATCCTGCGGTAAGCAGTATTAAATTTCACTTTCACTTTGCCGCATTTTCACCCAAATTTTGTGCACATATGTTGTAAATTTGGAAATACTTAAATACATACATTCCTTACCTGATGCAAAAAATAAACTCACCCCTCTTTGGCATTTTGGTACAAACGTACATTTGTTTGTTGTATATTTCTTTTTGTTGCCGCAATAAATTATTTTTGTTTGCCATATCAATTAAATTGTATTATCATTTACCACAGAATTACCCCGGAAAGTGTCTCAGGCCTCCTTTGGCTAGCAGTGCATATATTAGCGCTTAAATTACGCCCATTTGTGCAACAAATTTTTAAGGATTTTCGTTTACGTTTTAACAAAAAAAAAATAAAAAAAATAGCGCCGTTTTCTCTTCAACTGAGCTGGGCTGGGTTGGCGATAAGTCAACCTTCATTATCGCCTTTAGAAAGTGTCAAAATAAATTATTCAATTCTTATTTATTACCTCAACTTAGCTGTCAACTGCTCGTGTAATAAGATATCTTTAAAAGGCAAACATTTTTTAATAAAGTTTCAGTTAGAGTGCGTATATGCATTTACAAAATTGTTTACAAAAAAAAGTTTATACTCAAATAATACATACACTTTTAGCTAAAAACGTGGAAAATGTTCTCACATTGAAAGGTGCTTATCTGTATTAGTTATGTCAATAGTCTCTGGTCACTTAATATATTTAGTTTTTTTTTCACTTATGCGCTGGGATCCGCTTAGTAACAAGCTTCCATTGAAAAGGAGTCCCTTTTAAAGCACAAAATTGCCTCGAATGAACCCACTTTTTGTTGATTACGAACATGGCGCCTTTGGTGCGTACCAGCAAACAGGCCATACGGATACCGATGCCCATACTTAGGGATGAAACGATACCATGCAGGTATCGACACTTTAACTTGGAAGTAGTATCGAAAAAAGTATCGATGCCTGAAAAATATCGGACCTAAAGTATCAATACCTACTCGTATCGGTACTCATTGCGTATTCCGTATTAAATTTAATTTATTTTTTTAAATCAAAAGTTAATCATCTTCTGGGAATCCTAAACTCCGTAAAATTTAATAATGGAGGAACTGAAAATTAATAATAATGATGAATGGTATTTACACAGATACATACATATACAGTAACAAGTTTATCTTATTTAAGAAAACATGTATTAATAAAATATTTCAGCGAAAAAAGTCTTCTTTTGTTGTACTTCACAAGAATAGAAGTTTTTCCAAATGTTTGCCAGTCAACCGAGATTTCTTGACCTGGTTATTGTTGCTCCTGCTTTCGAAAACAATTGTAAATGTGATCGTGCTTGTTTATACAATAAAGGAAACGCAGTTTTCAGCTCCTCTCATTTTTCTAATTGGTTCGACTTAAGGAAGGATACTGGGCTGGATAAATATAAGGACACTTCGCCACCTTTCGTAGGCCTTTGTATTCATTACCTGAGTAATTACATGTAAAATCAACATTTTTAACTGCACTTTAAAATGTCACGAAAATAAAATAACTGAAAACATCAGCGTTTTTATGAAAAACCGACTAGCGCGGCCTCCATTTTTTTCAGATTAAAAAAAAATTGTGTCTTTATTCTCACAAATAACAATAGTTTGATGTAGCGTTTATGAATTTCCATAAAGAGTGTTCGTTGAACCACTCTAATATATATATTTTTCTCTACGTTTAATATTTTAATCTTTTCTAAAATTTTTTTTTTATATTTTGAATCAACTCGTTTTCTTAAATTATTTTGTTCAATAACAGAGCTATTTGCCCCTACCTTTAGTATTGCCCGCGCGAAGAATAATAGGGTTACCCAGTGAGTCTTACATCGCGCTAAAACGTCCCTACTGAATATTCATCCACTTCACACTTCCACTCGAACAATTTGCCGTGTAAACGTTACAAACCCTCGACTTTGGTGAAGCAATCGGATCGTGTATTCTTTGCATTATGTTGACTTTGGCGCCTTCTCGTGGGTTTAGCTGGCAATAAAGTTACCAAAAACCACACGGCGATTCATATTAGGCGTAGAGGAAAAATTTTCGGAGCAAAATTTAACTTGGTATCGGGTTTCGATACGAGTACTTTTCTTCGATTCCTACTCAGTACTCGTTTCAAAAGTATCGGTGCCAAATTTACTTGGTATCGAACGAAAAGTATCGAGTATGTATTTGTATTTACTCGTATCGTTTCATCCCTACCCATACCTAGTTTAGAAGGCACTGCCAAGGAGTGGAGGACTTGTTCGGAGTCATAGTGAATGGCGTAGAATCAAGCTTGGTTGATGACAACCAACTTCAATCATCTTTTTGTAAGGCAGCGCCTTTCTTACTGTACTCAACTATTTTGACGAAAATTTAACTATCTTCGCTTGATCATTGTAACGCAACAGCATTTATTCAAAAACTTTTCTCCGGGAACATTTCACCCTATTGCGGCTTATGTCTTTTAATGGTAGGATTGGCTTACTTGAGACATTTTTTCAAAGGAGCGAATTCGAGCAAACAGCGGTGTTACTGCCCAGAACAATATTTCACTGGTGCTCCATGGGGGTCATCCAGCATAAATTTCATAGTAGATGTAGTCGATTTCTATAACGATTGGTCACATAAGCTAGGACTTAACTTGCCGCCGTACAACTACATACGGAATAAAGTGGCATCATCATCAGCACCATAGTCAAATTCTTGTGCAACCCATTTCTCTTTAGTTTTGGTGTTCTCTTTTGAATCTTCGTCACAAATTTTATGTCTTATGTTAGGATTTTAAATTTTATAATCCTTTGCAAGAGCGTTCACTCTTTAAGTTTCTATCCAAACCCGAACGTGTTTGTACTCTTTTTTAAATAGCCCCATAATTATATATGTCAGAGCAGGGAGGTAATGCGAGGTTTGATGCATGCGTTCCAAGCTTAACCAAACCTAAAGACTTACCTACACCACCAACTTAATGGTGACGTTCCCGGAACATAGTCTAAGACCAGCCAAGGTTTTAATGGCACGGATACAGGCGCGATATTTGTACTCGAGATCTGATCTCAACATACTTAGGTAGCAGAATACCGTTACTATTTACTAGATCAAATATAAAATTGTCAAAATGTAATCCAAATATGTAAAGAAAATCAAAGCTAAAGTCGATGTATGATTTGTTAGCACTATTTTAGTACTTAAATAGATATAAATAATATATGTATGTATATGACCATAAACCAAACAAAATATTATTCTAAGTAGTTTCTGGATGACGCACACTTCACTTGCTCTCTCCAATAACTCTTGTTATCCAATCCATGGAATCGAAAACATTCTCGGCATAAAAGTTGGAGCTTTCTTCGCCACCCATTTGCACAATGCCTATTTGAGTATAAAAATCTGGCGTATCTTTTATTAACGTAATTATTGGGCCTCCAGAGTCCGCACAACCATTTGACGCTTGTTTATTGCTGCTGCCTAGGCACAATTTGGAAATACTCACATTCACCTCTGAATGGGCAAGTTTACAGGCAGCTGATGGCCGTTGAGAAATTAAATGTTTCTTTAGAATTTTGGAAGTGAAACCTGAAAAGTCGAAATTAAAATGCTTGAGTTTTTGGGATCTCTAAATGGGTAGATATAATTGTATATTTTTATTTCATTACCTTTTTCAGTTAAACCCCAACCAGCAACGGTTAAAGTATCTTCTTCATATGGCGCATGTAACAATTCTGATTTAAATGGCAAGCAAATCGGTTTTATGTTTTCTAAAATATTTAACACAATTTAGAAGGGATTATTTTTATACGTCCACACAGATAGTTTCGAAAATAAAAGTAAGTACTCACTGTTCCTTCGAGCTCGGGTCTTAAGTTTGATTAGTGCAATGTTTTTCACGCCTGTGGTCTGATTATTATCAGGATGGGTTACGATAGTACTGATTTTAAAATCCATATGCTGTGTACACGTTTTTATAGCCTTTCCATGAGAACAGTCTTTTTT